AATCACAATCACACATTCGGTTTATAAACAATAAAACACGTCCAATTAGGCCACAATATCCTTCAATCAAAGCCAATTAGAAGCTCGAAAGCCAACCATTAGAAAACCCCCAAATCGAAACCCTAGAACCGGAATTTATCCCCACAAGCGGAAATTTTCCGCAAACAACCGCAATTAACGTATAAAAGTTCCATTTAACACCATTTTAATCCATCAATCCAAGACCAATCCATGACTATCATATAAAATCAGAAATTGGACCAACTTGACTTAAAACCATGAAATCATCCAAAATATAGCATATTTAACCACTATGAAGCACTAGTATACCATTATCAAAACAACAAAGGAACTTCCTTAGTAACTCATCTTATAACTCAAGAAAGGTTGGAACTTAAAGCTTCCCTTCCAAAAACAACTCCACTATCACCTTTAACCCTCCTTAGTTAGCACTTGTATGGAATAGTTTGTAAATCTATCGGTTAAAACTCAAGATTTGAGTGAAAATTGAAACTAGAAAAATGAAGAGCTTTTCTTTCTTCTCTCAAGATGCACGGCTGAGCAAGGAGCAAAATGAAGATATTTTGACCCCAAAACAGTATAAAAAGGGAAGAATACAGGCGGTCAAAGTTGGTGGCCGCCTGTGCCACGTCACAATCCGGCCAGAATCTGGCCGGATTCAAGGCAGTAGCAAAACTCAATTTTTTTTCCAAAATGCTCCAACAATCCGGCCAAGAACTGGCCGAATTTACGGCCGGATTTGAGGTAGAGACGAAATTCATTTTTTTTCAAAACCCTCAAACAATCCGACCAAGATCTGGCCGGATTTGTCCTTTTCACTTTTCCGAAAAATTTTTCTTTTCGAAGCTCACACGCCACGTTCATTCGCACTTCCAACGAATATATAAATCTCTAATCTCATGTAAATACACTTAATAAACACAACCACACACTCACATTTATAACGAAAACTTTCTTAAAAACATGGATAGCATCGTTTCACTTAAATAAAACAACGGAAGCAAAAATAAACAAAAGGCTGAGAAAATGTGAAAATTTTTAGGGTTCTCACAAACAGATTGTTCTCCGTAATATTCCTGCCCCGAACAAACCCCGACTACTGGGGAGAGACTAACTTAGGCAACAAAGCAGCTAGTCTATCAGACAAGATACGCGACAAGACTTTATTAATGAAATTGCAGAGACTGATAGGCCAAAAGTTAGAGAAGTCCTGAGGGTTTGAAACCTTCGGAATGAGGACAATAGAAGTCGAAGTAATAAAGCATGGCCCCATAAAAGAAGTTTACCACAGTGTTATACACATCCTGGGCGATAATATCCCATGCAAAGGTAAAAAACTTGTAAAACCATCCGGACCTGCCGCACTATTCCCATCCATGACATGCACCACATGTTTCACTTCTTTCATTGAAGGAATATCCTCTAGGGTTAGGTTCTCCTCCCTCGTGAGGATAGGAAGGATGAGCAGAAGCAACTCAGTGCTAGGCACCACAGACTCTTAGTACAACCTAGAGAAGAATCGAATGGCCTCAGTGGCAATATCCACATCCTCTTCCACCCAAGTTCCTACTTACATTTTAATTCGATGGATCATACCTTGCACTCTGCGTTGCCTAACCGCCGCGTGAAAGAATTTAGAATTGCGGTCCCCACTTGAGAGCCATCTGACACGAGCCTTTTGGCTCTAAAACTGCTTCTCTATTGCCAATGCATGACGAAATTCCGCCTGCACCTCCTATAGGCTAATGTGAGCTTCGTCCGAGTCCTCGCTTTTCGCCACTGTTTCTGCCAGAACCATCTTTGCCTCTGCTACCTTGACAGCCTCAAAAACATTTCCAAAGGAACATTTATTCCATTGTTGAATGGCCCTCCTCACAGTCAATAGCTTAGTGCACAACACGCGCCAGGTAGACTCATCCGCAGGGAAGTTCCAAGCATTACGGATTGTTAATCTTAGTCCCAAACTTTTGATGTTTACAAAACAAATGGATAATATTAATATTTTTTCAAGAAATACTTTCAGTTATGCAGCAATTTGATTCCAAGAACAAGTGCAATTGAAAGAAGACAAAGGTTGCTGAAAGCTGTCGGACGCTTGGATCGGACGTCCGATAATCATTGCGCAACTTTGGACGCATGAAGAACTCCACCACCGGACGTCCGAAGGAAATAAGACATTCTCCTTGGCTCACTGACCTCGATCGGACGCAAGCATCGGACGTCCGATAGGATCGTTCAAACTCGACGAAATCTGTCGGATGCTCACAAAGACAATACTGGACGTCCGATAGAATTGAGATATTCCTTCTAATTCATTATCTGCTTTCGGACGCAAGCACTGGGCGTCTGATAGAATTGAAAAAGATTTTTCAAACTCACTGCCTACTGTCGGACGCATACTTCGGATGTCCCGGACGTCCGATACTCCAACGGCTAGTTGACACTTCATCTACTTTCTATCCGTTGGAAGCATTAATGAAGCACTTTTTTGGTCCTATATAAATAGTGCTTGATCAAAAACTTCAAACAACTTTTGCACACTGAAGATATAAAAGATCTAGAGTAGTTTTAGTGAGAAAACACTCTCCAAGGAAGATTTGTAGTCTTAGTGGTGTGAGGTTCATTGTAAGCTTTTCATTTGTGAGTAAATACTTCATGAGTATAGCTTTGTGAGGATTGTTTTAAGGGATAGTAAAACTTCCTAACTTGACCGAGTGGAGTTCGGGGCAAGGAGGAGGTGAACCTTCCTTTGTACACAAGAGTGATTGTAATTCATCAATTTGAAGAAGCTTGTTTGAATTAATCTACAAGTTCAAGAGGAGTTGGGTAGTTAATTGGTTTGCAATTCTTTCCTTTTTATTTACTTATTGTTACGTTTGTGATCTTTACATTACTTATCTCTTCTACTTCTCTCAAGTGATTTTGTTCATTCATTAATTGATTCATTGTGTGATCACTTAGAAAAGAGGGTAAATTTAATATTGAGCAAAAAGTGCCCATAACTTAATTAGGTTTTTAATCAACCTAATTCACCCCCTCTTAGGTTGTCTTCGATCCTTACACGGATCGCCTCCAACAGGGAGGCCTGTGATGTCCAAACATTCAGAAAGTGGAATGGCCGCGGCTTATCGTCCTGATGGGTGGCAAACGTGATCTTCAAAGGGCCATGATCGGAAGGATGTCTAGCCAGATGGACCACTGAGATAGAGGCGGAGAGACCCGCACATTCGCCATTCACAAGGAGCCGATCCAACCGCTTCCACACCCGAGCTCAACCTCGCCTATTATTACACCAAGTGAAACTGAGTCCAGAGAACCCTGCATCAAACACCTCGGCTTCCTCCATAAATGACATAAACTCCAACCCCTCCGCAGGCACAAAGGAGCGCCCCCCTCACTTCTCGGTGGAAGCCAAGATCACGTTGAAGTCCCCCCTATACACCAAGGATGCAACCGTGGCTTGTCAAGCAAGAGATCCCTCCACAAGTCCTTGCGATCCTCTACGGAACATCTCGCATGGACCTAGGACAACACCAAGGGGCTAGGCAACAATGGATGATGAGCATCTAACGTGATATGTTGGTCAAAAGAACCAACCTGCGAACAAACAAACGGCGACTTATAGAATACCCAGAGATCAACAGATGTATTGACCATCACAAAATCAAATGAAAGCCGCAAATGTATAGACTCAATCTTAGCAACATTTAGCTTAGGTTCACAAATGCAAAGAAATTGAACATCATGCATGCGAATTAACTGGATCAATCTCCTAAGATTGGGAGCTTTCGACACTTCCCTAATATTCCAAAATAGAGCATTAATCATGGGACAACACATTGAAGGAATTTTGAGAAGATGTCGAAGAACGAAGCTACCTGTCTGAGGGAAATTTAGCACGCATACCTTTTGCCTTCACCTGCGTAAATCCCTGCTCTAACTCCATGGACCTATCACATTAAGTTCCAACAGCGACGAATCCATCGCAGGTCCATGCGGCCTACTCAATCTTGGTGATAGGATCCCAACAATTCGTGGTAGCTCCTCCTAAGGCAAAGCTGCCACTGGACTGCCCAGGTCACTCCCCACACCTCTCCCACCCTCACACTTTCTCGGCACTGCTGCGGAGGCCGTAAGCGCCGCCACCCTCCTCAACCGCAGCAAGCTCACTGAACCCACCTGTTTCAAACTTGTCTGCGGCTGCCCTTCCAGTAGCTTTTTCCTCGGTCCCTCCAACCCAGCCCTCTCATCAAATCTCAATTATTGCAACCTCACATTATTTTCCAACCCTCAAGTTACAATGTAAGAAAAAAGTTGGAATTAATTTGTAAAATTTTGAAAGATAGACAATATACGTCATATGTCATCGTTACAGGTGGAAATTTTTGTATATTTTGTGCACATGCATACCTACCCGTAACTGTGTAGAAATATCACATTAATCCTTGGGTGAATAATTTAAAAGTAAGCGTGTACCTACCTGTGTATATTGAGATTTTGGAATATATGCTTTTAAAACTCGATTTCTACCTACTACAGTTCAACCAAAAAAATAAATAAAAACATACAACACTTTTACAGTCTTACCCCAAAAGTCCAAAATTCTATTGGGAAACGGGTAACATTGTAGGCACACAATATTAGAGAATATCAGACATAGAATATCAAAATTCACATAGGACAAATTACTTTTTTCTATACATCAATTAAAACAGGAACAAACCAAATCACCAATTAATGATATCAACAGTAATAATAATGCAATAATAAAATGTAGAAAAGTAAAAGTCACAGGATATCAGGATTTCTAATGTAAAAAATCCAAATTGGAAAAAAACTATAGGGTCTAGTCCAATAAAAGATATCTACTATCATAATAATGGGCATACACATATGCTCCAAATGGCAAAAACATTAACCACAACAATCAAGTTGATCATGTGGATCTACTATGGTTATACTCACTTTCTTCTATCGCCATGGCACTGTTGACGCAGCCAAACGCGGTGACTCTGTGGGTATGCAGGTGTCGTCTCTTTTGCTGTCGTACTCTCGTTTCTCTGCCAGCAAGACGAGAAGGACGTCATTTCAGTGCTCTTATATTCTCGAATGTGAAGTTTTCCTCTTGCATTGGATTGACGGCTGTTCCTGTCGTATCTCGTCGGCAATTCTGCGTTCGTGTGGCAACTGGGGTCAATGATTTCGGCTCAGTGGACTCTACTTTGACCCAGTCCATGGGGAGGAAGATCAAGGAACAGCTTAATGCGGAATCCGTCATAGTAAAGGATTCTTATGGTGATGGTCGCCATGTAAGCATTGATGTAATCTCTACAACTTTTGAGGGTCAATCTGTTGTGGGTAGGCAGAGGATGGTATACAAAGCTCTATGGGAAGAACTTCAAAACACAGTGCATGCAGTTGATCAAATGACCACAAGGACTCCTGTAGAAGCAGCAGCAGAGGGATAAATTACTGCACACATTGGCATATTGTGTTCCCGTATTGTTTACAATCCAACTTTACTGGACTAATATCCTCATCACAGGAAATAAGTTGGTTAAAGAAAGTTGTTTAGTCTCTAGACACACATTTGAACAATGGTATCTGCTTCATGTTTTTACTCTATTCATTGATTTAGCCTTCATGTTAGTCCTGCAAAAAAAAAAAAAATGGATCTATTACAAATTTATCTTTCAAATACTACAACTTTCTAAGAAATGGGTTTAGAAAGGCATTATCAATCAAAGAGGAAATCCAAAATCAGAATGGGTAGATGTATAGAGTTTAACGAAAGGATCACATAACTAAAATTTCATCTCAAACGGGTTTCAAATCATCATACGATCAAGATCTTGAAGTTGCAAAATCTTCACCTCTCTAACTCTTTTCTACCTCAACTCTTTTTTCTCTCTCTTCGGCTTCACTAGACTGGCGGCTTATGATTCTTCATATCTCCAAAATGAAACCCGCGGCTGATCAATTAGTCTTGCGGTTGATCATTCATCAAGTCAAACATAACTTGAGGCCCGTTTAAGATTGTAGTAGTTTATTGAAAAATACTTTATTATTAGAGTTTTTAATAAAAGTACTTATTAAGTGTTTAAGTGCTTTTAAATGTATTATTTAGAGACATAGTTCAATAAGTACTTATTGTATTGAATATTGTGTAATTTGATAATTTTAAATATATTTATCTCTTTATTTAGTTCATAATATAATTCGAATAGGTTCAATTGAATGGCCGAAAAGACTTGTTCTCCAATCGAAAGGGTGTTTCCTACAATTTCGACGTAGAAAACGGTTGATTTGATGATGGTGTCAAACACTTGGAATTTCAAGTCTTCAACACTGATAGCAGGAGGATTTGTGTGACTTGATTTGGACTTGGATTTGAGGAAGAAAGCTCTTGAGAAAATTTGACAGAGTTTCTCCAAAAGTTAGGGATTTTTCTCGTGTCCTCTTTGCCTTGAGGGAAGACCTCTATTTATAGCCAAAATATGTAGGCTAAGTCTTCAAGAAAACCTTCCAGAATCTTCCTGCATTTTGGGTAACTTGTCACTTAAGAAACCCATTTAACTTAAGCTTAAATAGTGGGCCAACCCAAATAGTCCATTGTGAATTAATAGACCAGTTAATTCACTTCAATTTAAATGGACATTACAGATTTAATTTGATTTAATAGCCCATCTAATATCAGCCCAATTTGCCAGTCCAAAACATAACGGACTTCTATAACTTAACTTAATTTAATCAAGATCAATTTAATAAATCTTGACTAAATAAATTAAATAAAATTTCTTTGTCTACAAATGCCCCCACTTCAAGGTTCAGTTGAGAACTTGCTTGCCAAGGGTTGAAACTGGAACTTGAAGTATTTACCGTCTTGCTCCTAGACAGCATTCCAATAGAAATTTCTTGACAGATCAATTTGATGGATCAATTTTGAACCCATAATCATTTGAGTAAAGAACAAGATTTGTGATCCACTACGACAAGATTTTTTTTGAAGGAGCCGCCAATACTGGCTCTTGAATGAGAAAATATTTGGCAATTTCTATTCTTTCAATAACCCGCAAGAGATAAGCTCGGAAAGTGGAGGAACCAGTTTGAAGATTCCTATATTTCCTAGCCTTTTCTCCACGGCTTCATGAATGCAATTAGGAAGCCAATCAATAAGGAAACTTGTAATTCTCTTAGGAACATTATTTTATTTAGAGAATAACCTCAAGTAACCTTCCTATGAGTCCTTTGGCTCCCAAGTGCAAACGTATAAGAATTGTCCAAGTACCATGTCTTCATGGTCATGATGTCTTGCATGGAAAGCCACAAATATTTAGAACATTGTCAACTTAGGCAATAACTTTCACCACCTTGGGAACTTAGTTCCGTATGAGGCGGTTTATGAGTACCATTTCTTGGGAACTTTCACCACCTTGCATGAAACATGTTTGTCGCGTGGCTTCATTTGTTCAATTAATTCTTTAAGAAGTCGTGAGACCACTTTCCTCTTGATTGTTGTTGAATCCAAAAGAATTAGAAGCATGCAACTTTCTACCATTTCCATTTACTTTCCATGAGGCGTTAAACTGGCAGGCATCAAAATTGGGCACTTGCAATGAATTGACAATTGCCAAAACCAACTATCAAGTGGTGAAGAATTTAGGCAATTTCCTTGGACATTGGACTGCTCACTTTCCTTCTGAACTTTAATTGCTTCCAAGACCATGTGCCAATCAAAATTGGTCTACTGCCTAGACCGAACATCCAACCAAGCACCATTATAGCCAACTAACAACTGCTAAAATCAATTTGTAAACAATTGAAAGCTATCAACTGGCCGGCTTTTGGAAACCAATTCCGTAATACTCAATTCCTGCAATTTCCAAATGAACTTTGATTTCCTCTTTTTTTTTATTGCATGGTTTGAGCTCTATAAAAGAAACCAATAGGATCCCTTACGGCTTCAAGTACAGCTAAACAATAAGATCCCTTACGGTTTGAGCTCTCTAATTTCTCCTTACGGCTTCGAATACAGCTAAACAAATCGTAGCATCGTGGGGAAAGAAAAATTCTCTACACCTCCGAGGTAATCGTTGAGCCTTCTTTTAGTTTCGATTTCATGTTTTTTTTTTCATATTAACTCTCACACAATGCTTGCCAAATTTGCTGTGTTGTTCATCACATATTACCAAAGAATCGATAGCTTTCTTGTTAGCTCCCTAGGCATATTGCATGTCACAATCTTTTGTTCTCATTGGTGCTGCAAATTCGATTTTTTTTTTTACGCTTGATACTGCTGCAGGAAAATTGCATGCGTCCTTCAAGTATTTCAATTACTTGCCGAATAGCTCCAACGAAACTTAGCTAGCACGAACCACTTTGAGTTTTGACTATTATTTCACGTGCAAGTTCATACTGGTACTAATTGGTTAGAGCAACCATGCCACGCGCCACATCTTTGTCTTGCATGTCTTTCTTGTGAAGCAAGGCAAAATTTGTCATTGATGATTTTTTTTTCCACTTTTTTTTTGACTGTGTGATAAGAAGGGAATATCACCCGCCCAATGACTAAATAATGTCGTACTTCACATTAAAGATGAGCACGACCCTTTATAAGACCTTGTCCTACCATTGCATGCCACACATCACTCCTTTTTTTTATTTTTTTTATATATATTTTTTTTCATTTTCTCTCTTGCAAAGGACGACCTCAAAGAGATTTTTTTTTCCTTCAGGTTGCATCTCGTGCTCATACCTTTCATTTGAAGCAAATTGGTGTTCTAATTTTGTCCACAATTTTAGGACCACAGCTCTTGGAATTCACAACACCAAGGTAATTTGCATACTCCATGACCTTACCTCTTGTCAATGCCAGAACCTCTTTTTTTTTTCCCGTGACGTGAAAGGAGGATCCCCGACACATCCTGTATGGTGGACATTTAATTTGAAGAAGGCGCAACCGCAAACTCTCACGAGAGCCATGCTATGGTTTGAGAAGTACATGAAGAAGATGGCACAACCAAAATTTGAAAAAGGTGCAACCGCAAACTCCCACGAGAGCCATGCTATGGCTTGAGGAGTACATGAAGAAGATGGCATAACCAAAATTTGAAGAAGGTGTAACCGCAAACTCCCACGAGAGTCATATTATGGCTTGAGGAGTACAAAGGAGATGGCGCAACCAAAATTTGAAGAAGGCGCCATCGCAAACTCCCACGAGAGCCATATTATGGCTTCAGAAGTACATAAAGAATGAGACACAATTACCCACTTCAATAAAGACTCACCCAAAATTCAAGAAACCTTTTACTATCTTCGATCATGCCATTTTAACTAAACTTTCTTTTTCCTTGTTTTGTTGCAGGTTAGTCTTGATACAATGGTGGTGTTCAAGGAAGTCACATCTTCAAACGAAAAGTATCTCCTTATTGCTGACAGCGATGGTGGATCTGGTGATAAAGGAACGAAATTATTGGTGCATCCCCTTATACAAGGAACTTACTCTGGTAAGTGGCCTTCTCACCAGTACCCAAAATTAAAGGACTGGTCACTTGAACTTTCTCAAGATGACGGCACGAAAGTCCACTTCTTGAGATCCCTTATTCATAATAAGGAGCCAAGGATAACTCCCTTTCAAACCCTTAGCAGGCGGATCATAGACGGAGATGCACACTGGGGTCCTTCCTTGCGACTCAATGGTGCGTTTAGTTACATCGAAAATTACTGGGAGTGGTTGGAGGATATTCTCGGCAGTAGCAAACAAGTGCTCCGTGAAAATTACTTGTTTGATGCCTTATATGCTTCACTTTTCACATATGATAGGAATCCCCATGTACTTAGGGCATTCTGCGAGGCGTGATGCCCGAACACTAATACCTTGCATACATCTGTCAGGGAATTGTCTCTCTCATTTTGGGACCTGCACAAGTTAGGAGAACTTCCAATCATCGGAGGTATTTATGAAGAGGTAATCCCATGCGCGAAGGAACTAACAGGAGTAAATGAAAAGAAATTAAGGCATATTCCACAAAGCTTTGAGTATTTGTTCGCAGCCTTACATCATCTTCAACATGGGGAATCCAACAAAGCTGGAGTTTCTGCTGCCCACTGGATTAAGTTCTAGTTTAAAGGCAAACTAAGCAAAGAAGGATAAAGAGGGCATCTCGTGCTCAAGCGACCCAAAATCCGGATGGCGAAATTGGACAACCACGCAAATTTTCAAGTCAAGACAATGGCGTATTTGATACCATCGAAGTTAAACTTCACTTGCGGGAAGAGACCTATCTTGCAGCATTTATATCTTGCTGGCTCTGTGTCTTTGCTTTACCAGATGAGGACTTCCATTATATTAGACCATCTACTTTCAAAATGGCTAGTATGATGGCTGCCGGTCGTAAGACTTGCCTTGCTGTTTCTGTCCTGCTAAACATATACCGTGGGCTCGATAAAATTTCAAACTCAGCTACCC